GGGGGGGGGCGGGGAGGGGCAGGCAGGGCACAACACACAACTCATGGTTCTCCTTTATCACATGCTATACTTACAATAGGCAAATGCTAAAGTTTGTCTGGATTTTAAAAATTATTAGACTAGGCTCCTGCAAGAGAAGACAATTTGTATATGCAGTAATTATGTTCCCTCTACCATTCTTGTCTTCTTCCTTGTAATGGATTTAAGTACTCATTTCCACTATCATTGACTAATTTAACAGTTTTCCAGGATCTGACAGTCAAGACAGTTACACTCTGACAAGCTACCAGTGCTGTGGATTTGGGTGACAAGAGCAGATGGAAGAGGGGAAAAAAAAAAAAATAATAAAAAAATCCATCTTCTAGAATTCTTCAGTTTCAACAAGAGCAGTTGAGCATGAAGCAGGCCAGCACTGTCTTACTGAGAATGAATCTGAAGGCAAGCTGTGCATTCACACCACACATGGGATGGTCAAGTTCCTGAGAAGTGCAGCAAGACTACCACTTTAACGACTAATGCTGCCTTTTGTACATTCTAAAGGGGATGACAGTTAGTAGTAACTAGGGAGATTATTTCTTTATCATTTACTAGAGGGAAGGCCCTAGCTACCAAAAAAATTCCATTATGCATAACTAGTTCTTACACAAAAAGGTGTATCACACCCTTCTGAAAGACAGTCTACATCAACGCAAATGAATGCGCATAGCTAGGTAGTCACAGACAGTGTAGAACACCAACTCAGCATTTCATTTGTTGTTCATATTTTTACAATTTATTTTGCCATTTTAAAAATGTCACATAATTTTAGAGATGAAATCATATTTATTAAAAAGTTGAAACCTTACTCTCGGTCAAAGGAATAATCTTTACCTGAAGAGCGTAACATATATTCAATAGGTCCATTCCTTCTGAACAAAGTGTTTCATGTTGTCAAACTGATTTACAAGCAACACAAAAGTATTGCTCATCCTCAATTCCAATGTAACTGCTTACAAACAAGAGTCAGAAAACACTGTGTCAGGAGACCTCAGAAAACAGCATGGCTAGAACAAAAAGACGACAAATAGTGAGATACATTAAATCAGCAAGCAGAACATAATATGCTCAAACTATTAGAACTTGCCACAACATGGAAGAATCATCTTTTGCTTACAGCCTTGTCTGAGCAATCAAAAAGCAAGCATGCAGCATCCCTGTTCTCTCTTCTTAATGCCAGCTTACAAACACTGCAGAGCAACTATGATCTTATGTGTCTTCCAAAGCAACCTGTCCTTCTGAAAGGCTAATGTATTTTGTATGAATCTAAAGATGGATTTGTGACTGTCAAAAAAATACAGCTGGTTTCTAAAACTGAACAAACATTGTTCTTTAGTTCACTGAGGTTTATATTAACAGCATATCTGACTTTGAATGAAACCCACATGAAATCAAGTATAGACAAGTAGACATCTGCAACATTACTGGCATCATGATACACCTTTCTGTGTATGACTTTGGGCATCAGAGTTAGAACATCATGTCATCTAGTCCATCCTCCATAAACTTCTTGTAAATTGCCATAAACTTTGCTACAAATGCTTCCAGATGATAAATGGCCTTGCTGCCTAGTTGCAGGCGGTATTCATAGAAGGCTGCCATGTGTGCAACTTCTCCTTTCAGTTGTCCATCACAGTTATTTAAAAGTTCTGACAGGAGACCCTAAAAGGGGAAAAGACAGGACAGTATTTGAAAATTTATATGCTTTTCCTTAAGACGATAACCTCATTTCTCTGAAAATAGCCAAGCTAAGATCAATAGTTCGCTCATTAATCCAACAGAAAAGACATTCAAGAATCATTACAGCACCTATTTGACAGAACTAGATTCATGGAACCATATCTCTTCAGAACCTTCTTTCAAGATAAATTCCTCATGTCAAAACAGACATTCCCTATTGTGTTCTTAGATGGGAAAAATCATATACTGGAACTACTTATGCCCTAAGAAAATAAATTAACCTCATCTCCAAATACGTAACCTCTACTGTATGCAGGCCCAGGACCCTGGGGAGAATTTTTACCAAGATAGGAAGTGATTTGAATACACTTGCTATCTCAACAGCACCAAGCACAGAGAGAAAGAACTTTAATAAATAACAAGGAAGGGGCTTATTTAAAATTTAAGTATATCTGTTTATGTACATATGTATGTGTAGATACACACACAAGATAATTTACAACAATACTGCAGTCATTACAAAAACAGTAAATACATTATTTTAGATCAGAGATAGCAATAAAATAATTGCAAGTCCATCTCTGCTAAAATGGTCAGGATTAAGTGAGAAGTATCCCTAGACCATTTCAAGTTTATGAAAAGGGAGTGAGTAGAGAACCTTTGGCCTGATGGCAACAGTCCCTAAACAGAGGAATGCAGGATCCACTAACCAACCATAAGAAAGGAAGGTTAAAGAAAAGTCTAACTACCAAAACTGTCAGAAAGCAAAAATCACTTAATGTGAAAAAAAAAAAAAAAAACAAAAATCTCATCATTATGTCTGATGGCAAAGTCCACTTTGGGTAGAGCAGCAAGCATCAGCTTTAATCTTTGTTCTGCTCTAGTTGTCTTCAGCATCCTTTCATCCTGCCTAAACTAGGAACATGCACATCCTGTTTGCTTTTTTCCCCTCCCAAGATGACTTCTCTCTTTGAAGGGGCCTGCTGGTCTAGCATCTTTCAGCAATTTCTCCACTAGAACATAGCAAATATTGAACTCACAACAAAACTTTTACAAAAGAAAACAAGCCATATCAAAATAAGCCCATAAAATACATTTATGTTTCAATATAGAAACTGGCCTGAGAAGTATTCAAGGGGACAAAGCATGTCCTCCTTTGTTTTTACTCAGTAACGATGCTGCTGTTCTGTGATCACAAAACAAGTTTAGTAAACCATTCGACAAGGTGTGAACAAGGAAGCCTACAATAAAAATAGACACATTTTCTGAATTAGAGAACAGAATCTTCCTGCCCCCAAAATCTACACCACTCAAAACTGTCATACATGAACCTAACTATAGCATATACTAACAGTCTAGTATATGGACTGAGGATCATAAGAAGTGAATGTTATGTATCAGTGTTTGCAGGAACAAGGTCTTTAATTACTGCTTCAAAGCAATAACCTGGACTATTCTGGTTACTCCAGTGGAAGGAAACACAAGAGAAAAGCATTTTTGGTCACTCATGTTTACTTAGAAAGGACATGGAATTTCATCAATATCTGCATAATTTGTGTTGTTTTGGTGTGGGGTTTTTTTAAACTCAAACTGAGACTGTCATACCATTAATATTTATAACACATTTAGAGCTAGATCACTGAATTACCTTCATTATAATCTCAGGAGGAATGCAGTGTGTCAGGAGTTCATAAAGCCGTCCACGGACCTCTAAAAGCCTGTTGGGAAAACACCACAAAATATCAGATGTCCCCAAAACATACTAATGCATTTTCACTATTCATGAAATAAACTGCCAGAAAAAAAAAAAAAAAAACAAAAAAAAAAACACGCAAAATTTCTTTTCTGTTTTTGGTTTTGTGTTATTTTAAACCCAAATCCATTGCATAGATCAGTTTCAATTCAAATGCTACATATCACCTTTTATTCAAAACAGTAAGATAAGTTACATATACTCTAATTACAATGGTCTCAGTTAATCTAGAAGGTACAAGGCTATTAGAATTTGTTTCAGCTTTGTCTCTCTTTAATTCCTCTTCATATCTAAATTATTATTCATACTTAAAATTAGTGAGAAGACACCAACTGATTAGAGCTAAAAGATTCATTTATGTTGGTTTTCTGTCTTCACTGGTTACAAGAGAGGGTAAGATGGTTAGGTGGCAGAACGTGACACAGTTATCAGTTCCCAAGTTTTGATATTAGGAGGTCAGAGGCTAGAAGCATTTAAATTAAATTCAAGAATTTAAGTGACATCTCATGTAATATATAGAACAGATTAAAAGGATCAGGCTGTGTATATGACACTGAGATGGATAAAGGGGACATTCCTAATGTGCTTTAAAAAAGCAGTGATTTCTCATTTCTAGTTCTTTTACAAAAGGTGTGTTATGCTAAAGATAGTGAAACAGAAGCCTTAATTAAAACAAATAAAATACCTGACACACACACACACACACTCCCCGCCGCCAGCCCCCCCCCCCCCCAAAAAAAAAAA